GGTTTAGAGGGGAGATTCAGAAGGCTTGTATTTTAGGCTATAATTTTGGTGTATAAAGTTTGTTATTTGAGTTTTGTATGAAGAAGTTAAGGTTGTTTGAAGTTAGGGTGTGAATTGTTTACCGATTGTCACTCTTTTAAGCATATAGAAAGTTGTAGAAGGTTTTTTGGAAAACGAATGGTGTTTTTGGAAAGCTGGTTTGAAGGAATAAAATTTTTGTGCAAGGTTTGTTAACTTTGAGTCTGCAATGGGAGAGTTATGGCTGTTTTAAGTCTAGATGCAAAATTTGTACCTACTGTCACTCTTTCAAGCATACAAAGAGTTGTAGAAAGGCATTTAACAATCGAAAGGTGGAATTGAAAAGCTGACTTGAAGGGCTTTAATTATTGTATAAAATTTGATAAAATCAGATCTGAAGTGAGGAAGAAATGGCTGGTAGAAGTCAGAGTTTACAAATTAAGGTAGTAAGTGAACTGAATTGTTGATAGTTATGTTTTGAGCCATTTTTTTTAAGCATTTTTGAATTAATTTTGGCTCAAACTTCTCAAAGATGTAGTTATAATATTGAGAAGCTACACAAAAAAATTTCATATCATTTGAGTGTTGGATTTGTAAGAAATTGCAAAATCAATACATAGGTGTTTGTAAGTCAACATGTAAAGGCTGTGCTACTAAAATTGTGTTATCTAGAGTTTTGTTAAGAATCAACAGTTGAAAATTGAATATAAAAGAGTTAAGGGTATTGCCTTACTTCTCAAATATTTTGAGCTCAATCTAACGTTTGGATTGAGAATTATCAAATTTTAAAGTTCAATGCATCAAAGGAATTCGGTATTGAAGGAATTTTGGTATTACAAGGATTTTACTACTACAAAAAGGGTTTTGGAAATTATGAAAGATTTAGAAATTATTGGCTAATTTTACTATTACTAGAGATCTAGTAATTATTATTTATTGCTATAATTTTTACTATTATTGGAAGTCTAGTAATTATGATTTATTGCTATAATTTTTATTATTATTGAAAGTCCAATAATTATTATTTATTATTGTAACTTTTATTATTACTAGAGGTTTGGCATTTGATGTTTATTTCTTCTATATTTAATAATGTGGAAAGGAATAAAAACGAAATTATAAATAATCTTGGAGTATTTTTATCTTATGATTAATTGAGAATTTAGTGTCAGCCAAAAGCCTAATGCTTTCTCAAGGCAAGCTCTCTTTTCCTCGACAGTGCCTACCTTAAATATACAATTAGATTATTATTAATAGAATATTAATTTACTACATATATGTGCTTAATTCATATACTTATTTAGCTCATTTACTTGTTTGTTTCTTAATAGAGAATTGGCCACTAGATTAATAATCAAGAAGGTTAAAAGATAAGAATAAGGTAGACCACATGTAGAGAATTCTCATTTTAAAGTCTTTTTAGTGATATTTTTGAAGATGAAAATAATGATAGGATATATTATATATGGTGGATTTTTATCTTGGAGACATATTGGTGATATTTTTAAGGTATCAAGGTGACTTAAGGGAGGGAAGAGAGGCATAAAGGAATGGTGATTGATGTGGTGAACCTTTTTTGTAGATTTTGTGATTTGAATAGAAGTCTTCTAGAATTTTGATTTTTCACTATTGCTATAGCATGCATGGTATAATCTTAGTTTTGGTTAGTCACCATGTTATTTTTTTATTGCATTCAAACGTGACCATGCAATTTTTATGCAGAAGAATTTAGTGGAGAGATCCATGTCTGAGCATGCCATCTCATGTTTTTAACTTTAGTAGCAAGTTCTATTTTCACTATTAGAATTTGGGATATGGCAACTGTGATGTGCATGAAAGCCGCACACATGTAATTCTAGGTACATTATGTTTCTTCAAGGAAAAGTCCAGGCTTTGTAATTTTGAAAGTTGGTTTGATTTTTTTTGAAGATTGAACAAATTTGTTGAAATTTTTATTTTGTTACATGCAAGATTGAAGTTTATTTTTAGGTTTAGATGTTTTTTTAACATTCATTATATCATCAGCATGGAAATAGAGTATATTTTTATATCTACTTTCCGATTTTTAATTTTAGGTTGGTAAGCATTTATTTTTTGTTTTTTATTTTTCATTTTTCTGAAACATCGATTAGTGTGTGAGTCTGTTTAAACTTCTCTCCATCGCTTGCATAAGTTTCACAAGTCTTGAATCATTCTCTTCACCACATTTCTGGTCTCTTTTATATACTGTTTAGTACCTTTTTTTTAGTACCGCATGTTTCTATTATGAATAGTTACTTGATGATGCATTTCAATATTTGCAGGTATGCCCTCTACGATCTTGCAAAAACATCCACATTCATTTCTGTAGATATTGTTGATGGCATTGGCATTGAAAGAAGTCCTATCTTCCACAAAAATGTTCAAACATCTTAGGATGTAAAGTTACAAGTAAGAAAAATGTAGACTTTAGTTTACAAATTTGTATAAATTATGTTTTGTTAGTCACCACCATTTTAATGACATCTCACATTTCAATTATCACTTCTTATATTCATTTAAGATACAACTTTTCTTTCATCACCTTGATCATCTAAATTTTATTTAAATAACTTCTGAAAAGTGTTCCCATTGCACTAACATTGCGCAGGATCCAAACATATTACACCACAAGCAGGGCCTTCAAAAGGTGTTGGAGCTTCTTCGTACTCGATACGGCTTTTCACTCAACAATGCTACCTGCTGCATATCATTATGCAATCCCATACAATCTTTATGAAGAGCTTGGTATTAGAAAATATGGCTTTCATGGGACAAGTTATCAGTATCTTCTTCAACAATCTTTGACTATCCTTGAGAAGCCTCAATCAGATGTAAATATTGTTGCGTTGCATCTTGGAGCAAGAGCAAGTATGGCTGCCATTAAGAATGGTAAATGCATCGATACTTCAATGGAACTAATTTCTTTGTAAGGATTGACAATGGCCACACTATGAGGTGACAATGACCCCACAATAATCCAAATGTTGGCATCTGAAAAAGGCATGAATGTCGATGTGGTTATAAATATTTTGAACAAAAAGAACATGCTGTTTGGTTTGTGTGGGAAGAAAGACATGAGGTATGTATGGAATTCTACTGAAGCTGGCAATGCAAGGCATAAACTGGCTTTGCAGGTTTATGTACATTGGATTTGCTCATACCTTGGAGCTTATTATTTTCATCTACAAGAAAATCTTGATGCTTTGGTGTTTAGTACTGGAATAGGAGAAGGAGCAGGTCAAACTCGTGCCCGTATATGTGAAGGCTTAGAAAAGTTTGGTATTGAAGTTGACTAAGGACAAAACGGGAAAGGGAAATTGAAAGAGGCAAAGGCAATTCATAAGAAGGGTTCAAAAGTGTAAATCCTAGTGATACCTACAAATGAAGAGCTTTCCATCTTCCAACAAACACTACTAGTTGTGGAGGCTCAATAACAGTATTTGAAATGTTGTGTTGAAACACTGTTTTTGCTTTCTTCAGGAGTTTTGTAGAGATATGACAATATATGTTCACAATGAATGGCATCTTGTCCATCCATGTTATATTTGTTCCTTCGACAGCAGTGCTACATCTGAATGTCATTGGCTAACTTACTTAGCTAACTGTCCATAAATACCATGATTAGTAGGAAAACGAGCCAGCTTATTGATACAGTTTGAACATTGATTAGTATATTGGAAGGATAAATTTAGACTGTTGCGCTTCAGTACACCAGAAGTTTTACAAGAAAATAAAAATGATAGGCATTGCATACAAATCGCATCCTTTTAAAACTGCCCAAAATATACAAAGAAAAAATATTGCTTTAGCCTTTGGTGCATGTTGCTCATATAATATACTTTTTATATATGAATTTTTGAAGAAGATTGTTTGTTTAAAAGAAATTATATATTTGATTCAAATATTTGGAGTATATCCTATTTGATATGTCAACTTGAATTGCTAATGGTTGTTAGTTACAATTGATATAAACTATACATTAGTTTTTGTAAATAAAATTGTATATATATATATATTTATATATACATATTATTTTGTAAATATTTGATTATTTTTATGTTGATTATCTTGTATTAGTGGAAAACCACTAAAAAATTGTCTTTGGCCACAAAAGAATATTGTAAATTATGTGGTATAAATTAACCTTTTGTTTGAAGCTTCATATGACGTAAAACTCCATGTTGCATGCTATTTCACTTTAGGTGCTTCTAAGCTTCATGCCTAGTGATCTTGCAGTGCTATTCTTGGCAATGTGCAATAACAACAACATGCAGATTTTGATCACTTATTCATCAAAAGTTAAGTTATTACTTTGCTTTTGATGAAAACAATGAGATGTGCAGCCAATTAGAGATGGTTTTTGTCTTGTCTTATTTATCTCATTGGTTTATTCCCTTGAGCTATTTTATATAAGAGATATATAATTTTTAACATATTTAATACATAAAAATATTAAATAGAAAATAATTTTTTATTATAATTTTTTTATTAATCAAAATTTTAATATAAAAAATTATATCTTATTCTTAAATTACAAAAATTGAACTCTTAGATCTTTATCAATCTAGTACTATCCAAGGCTGAGGAGTAGAATAAACTCACATTTATTTATTTATTTATAATATGCACATTATATATTGGTTAAAATTTATAAGTTAGAAGTTTGGAATTAGAGATTAAATTATAAAAATTAGAAATTAGAATAAGTGCAAGTTCTTATAATATAACTTAGAAAAATAAATAATCTGCAACCTAATTGCAACAAGAAATGCAAGTATAGGTTGCAAATCATTTATTTTTCTAAGTTCTAATTTGTAGAAAAAAATTAATCGTACCACAGACTTGAACTGTCAAATAAACATATTTAGCAAGAAAGAGAGAGATAAACAAGCAAGGATGTTCATTACTGAAATAGAAGTGACCAAATGCTCACCAGCAATGATAGGTGACAACCAGCAGTATAAAATCATCGACTGATCTAAGTATCAAAAATTCTAATTCAAGTCCGAATTCTTTACAAACGATTAGAAAATGATCAATGTGAAGACAGTAACCGAGACATAGGAGCAGGCCACTTATTGATAATAGAAAACAACAGGATCTTGTCCAATTCTACCCAAACTCCACCCTTTCCCCTAACTAATCTGTGAAGGAAAAGTTAATATGGCACAGCCATGCTCCAAGACTCCACAACTTGTCTTTTAAACTAGAGCTACAGTCTGCTTCGCTGGGGATTAGGACCTTCCCAAAGCTTGCCAAAAGAAAATGCTAGCTGCTCAAACCGATCTGAACCAAAAAACATCAAATCACGAGGCTGGCGCACTCCTTGCAGATTCTTCTCTCTCGGGGTTACATATATCGTTGGGGCGCCAAACATACCTTTCTCCACTGCTAATGCTGTGTTCTCCTGCAGCATGTATATCACTCTAGGCAGTCACTTCAACGATTGCTGAATACAAGCAGTTTTGGCCGAAGTAAAGCCAATCGTAATCCAAAGAACTTGAGAAAGACGGCTAAATTACAAATATAACTTAAAAGGTTTTCTCTATCGTAATATTGGGTGGGTAAAAGTAGCCACCCCAAATCGAAAGACATAACACCACATCAATCACTAGGTTGCTCAAGGAAAGACTTGCGATAGCTAATAATAAGTACTAAAAAGAATCTGTCCAGATGATCTAGAAAGCAGATTAGAAAGAATTTTTTCGGCTATGTAAAGCTGTTGCATTTTGGTACACAAATGACTTTCTTTATCTAATAAAACTTAACCGATTTTATCACAATTCAGCAGCATAAACTGCTCCAATCAGACGTGGTATCAATTCAGAAATATCAAACAACGATGAACTTTGAAACAGCTCAATAGGAATGCTATTACAGGATTTTGAGAATAGGGTTATGCTTACGTACCTTAAGTCGCAACTTGATAATTTCATCCTTGCTAGAACTGATATATTGTTCAGATTCTGCTTCTGTGAAACCAGCAGCCATGCAACACTTGAGCAAAAATTTGGAGTCACTGATGTTGAGATCCCGGTTGGGTTCCCCTCCAAAGATGCCACGAAAGAAGGCCAAGAATGCTGCTGCAAGTTCCTTGGAATCGTAGCCCTGTAACAAGGCCCACAGAACTTCATCACGATCAGGGTCATGTGGGTGAAGTGCATTATAGCGATACAGTTTCAGAGCGAACTGCAGAACTAACAATCACCAATTTCAGAATTGGATAAAAAATGGCAATAGGTGAAGTTGAAATTATGAGAAATACAGGCATTGAAGAAGACGCCGTGATAAAGACAGGACATCGAACTCAGTCCAGGAACAACTCATACATTAAACATAACTTTAAAAAACTTCGTGATTCAAGCCTTCAGGCTTTTTAGGGTTATAAAGTACACAGGAGAGAAACTAACCTTGGATTCAGCAATAGCTGTCAGGACGCGTTGGCATTGCAGAGAATTGAGTGTTGTTCCAAAATTTGCTGGCACCCCTCGAATTGGAACATCCATGAAACGAGCGTTTCGTTGCATATCCTCCACCAACCATTGGCCTGCAACAATTGGCACCGGAGGAGTCATGAGGACAAGTTGTATGGTTACTCCACAAACTTGCAAAAATACAGAAAATTTTGTCTATTCTATAAGAACGAAGGAAGCAGACATGCAACAATAGTTCGCAGACAATGGGAATGATGTCAACCTTTAGCAGGAACCATGATGCTAGGGGGTTTGTTGCCAGTGGCGGCATGAACTGCGCCAAGAAGAACCGGCAGCAATTTCAAATTGAGGTTCCATCTTTCCTGATACCTGCCAAAAGCAAAAACGTGTAAGATCAGAATCGAAACATCATAGTTTCGAAGCTTGTGAGCTCATCGTTCCTAACGGTACATGCTGTGTGCATAAATAGAGAACAAGAGTTCTTAGACTATGTTCATCGGACTCCAATCTTCTCAAGAAAAGTCAATAACCAATACGAATTTACCTCAAGAGCACCACTAGGGCAAAGAAAGAGTAGGGTGATGCGGAGTCCAGGCATACAAGCATCTCAATTCGGTCATCTTTCTCCATTTAATAGTATCTCATCACACGCCTATGCGAGCACTTTTGCAACTTCACGTCTATGCGCTTTACAAACGCGCGCATTCCCAAAGTAGGTTCTGGATCCCAACTGCTTCCTCTTACCACATTGTCGAGGTATTCTACAATGATCAATTATAATTTGAGATACCAGAAACATGGCATCAATCTCAAGCAAAGTGGCACATGCAGCACCAAGCCCAAAAAGAAAATACCCGAACCATGAATTTCACGAGAACATCCCACACTTGCGACTCAAAGTCGGCGCAATTAGTAGGCGTAGAAATCACAAGTTTTCAAGACTTAATTCATCAGCACAAAATGCTCTCATAGAAAGAACGACCAGTAATCCAACAGAAGGGGAGTTGCACAATAATCCTACACTACAGGCACGGTAACCATCACATCCTTTTGAAATTGTACTGACAAGTTGATCCACCATAGACACACCTGAAATTACAACTCAACCTGCTGGTTCCAACAACAACGCTCCCATCCACAGAAACGCCCTCACATTACCTCTCTTCACGAAACCCAAAACCTCCACCGAACAACAGCGAGCAAAAAAAATCAGAATTTAGAGCCAACGCCACACAAACCTACATGTGATCACCTTACGAACATGGGTCCTCGCAAAACCTATCAATTCGCCTAGACTTAACACCAGTGTCGTCGAGAAAGCGAGAAGCTCACCTTGAGGCGAATCTTTTGGGGGTGCAACAGAGCTGGTAAAATGTGATAAAATGTGGCAAAATTCTACGGAAGCATTTATGGGTATTTCTCTCTCTTTCTCACAGATCCCAGCAACGGAGACAAAATCCGATCTTTCCGTCTGTGCTGAGAGACACGAGCTTTGAGTCCTGTTGCAATGAACTTCGAAGCAGCGACGATGTTCACTGAGGAAACATTTTGCCTCTCTTCAGTTGGGTTGCATTCCTCATTGGACCCACACTGATCCACATTCTACACAAAAAGAGTATGCTCAAGTTTGTTCAATCCCAATCCCAAATCCTTCAATTCTCTATAATGTACCTTCCAAATTTCTTTAACAAAGGACCTTTGACAGCCATAATTACCACCACCACCGCCAAGTAAAATCTGCTCAAATCATGTATTGCATTGCACACAGTAATTTTTATTTTCTTTTTTCTTATTTATAGGCTTCCTTATCCTAGTCTTGTCTTCAGAGCTCATAGATAAACTCCCTTCTGTAAAGTTGCAAAGTTTTGTTACAACACTTTTTGACTATACTAAGACATTTTGGGACAACTACTTGTTTTGAATTTTAACCATCACTCTTGCTTCAAAGAATATTTTTTTGTTGTCTTACACAATAGCACTTATTGTACATGGTACTTTTGTTTCTAGGAAGAATTTTTACAACTCAAAAAATTTACTGTTAGATTTTTTTCTCTAACACGAATATTTTATAAACAAGGATTCAAAATTGAATTAACTTCATTCAAAATTCGAACTTTCATAAGTATTAAATACCCTCTTTTTGTATTGATTCATCTCTGTGTTAGTTTTTTACACAGTCAATAATAATACATACCACATTGCTGTATCTAGCATTTCAAAAATATAAGTAATCTGATTTTAAATATGTATTTTGAATAAATTGGTGAGAATGAAAGTAAAAGAAACTATAAACCAAATCAAGTCTAAGGTTGGATCCTAATTAAAATCCATGCTAGATGTTTATTTTGATTTAATGTCAAACCTTGTTTACAAAGATAACTGCAAGCATTATTGCTATCTTTATTGTGTACAATTTGAAGTCAGAGTTTGAGTTTTTTGCATAAGATTTTTTTTCTTTTTTGTGTCTTGGTATAAATTAACTCGGAATGTTAACAAGATATTTGAGTTATTTGACTGTAATATGCACTTATAAGCAAGCATGCCCTTCTATAAACCATGTGTTAACCAAAATAATGGCACTTGAGCACTTTCATCTATATAATATTTTTTATTCATTTTTAATTCCCACACATTAATAATAGGGAATATTTTTTAAATCTAATGCAAAGAAACTAGCAGTACTGAAATATGATTATTTACATTGAGATGTGTTTATAACAATGGATACCATTATCACTTACATATAATATTTTCTAAAATTATAAGTAGAATTTAAAGAAACTTGGTATTTGTAAATAAATAACAATTCTTTTATGAAAATATTGTTTTTCTTGTTTAAAAAAGACAAAAGAAAAAATCATATAGTTAAAAAACATTATTAAGTATGTATGGGTATATGTGTGTGTTTTAGGATGAAAAAATCATTGGCTTCAAGGCCCCTTATTCCTCGTCCCACCACATTCTCCCACGTTCTCTTGTGTTTTTGAGGATCTATTTAACAACCAAGACTAAATCTTCTAATTTGAAGGTTAAGAGGCCTCAAGCGAATTGATTGAGTTGGGAGGTTTTGAAAACAAGTAGTGATGAGGATGGCTGATATTACAAGATAGCAACAAAACTACCAACAAAAAAGTTGATTAAGTCACTTTAACCAACAAAAATAAATGAAAAAGCATTGTTCAAGTAGCATTATTGATGGCATTGTAAATTTTTTTTTCTATAAAAAATGTAAGTTTTTTATTGGTAACATATGTAGTGGAATCAATATGGTTGTGTCTATAATAATTTGACATTTGTTAACATCAAAGTAGAGTGTTGATAATAGAGAAAGTATTTGGGAAAAATTGATTTGAGCCAATTAAATAATGCCAAATAGAAGTGATTTTGATATTCATGAATTGTTGGATATATGTGATTTACTAGGGATTAGAACTATTTTATTATTTTTAAAAAATATAGTGGTTTATAATCCATCTTGCTTTTACTTATTACAATGTCAAGTTCTTGACACAAACTACATATGTTATATTTAGAACATATTGCAACAATAGATTTAATTGTTGTAATTCAAATCTAATATAGTTTGAATTAGTTATTATAGTTTTCTTTTAAAGATGTGTTGACATATACATGGATTCATAAGCTCGATAATTATCAAAGTTAGAATACAATTTCTTGTTTTTAGATTTGTCAATTTTAATCTTCAAAAAGATAAATTTCAAATTAGGCATGTTTATTACTGTTGACAATTTTTTAGTATTGGTTTTTTTCTTTCTTTCTTTCTTTCTTTCTTTCTTGCTGCATTAAATTTTTCCTCAACATTGGCTTTCAATTCTTAAGTTTTATTGTTAGATCTACATAGACATGATTTTGTGTGGCAATTGTAAAAAAATAGTTTGCAGTAGTTTGTAAATCTTTTAATTCAAGAAGCACATCCACTTGTATGTTAGGAATCTCTTCAAAATTATAAGAAACATAGTTCTTAAAATTTTGTAACTTTAGAGATGTAGAAATATGACAGTAGATGTTGATTTGTATTCTATCCATACCAAATATATGTGCTCTTTTAAATTAAGGTGGAACTTTTGAAAAACATTTTTTTATGTGAAAACCTACAAATAAAATAATTTGATGTTTAATATTGAAAATCTATATATTTTCACGAATTTTAAAAAAGATATGTTCTTTTTATATTCAAAGTTATAAACCTCAACAATACGAATACAATTAAATTTAAAATAAACAGTAGAACAATAGAAAACACACCAAACAATATATGTATTTTTGTAGGTAATTGTAATGATATTGATGTTTTTTTAGAATAAAGATGTCAAAATCTCAACAATAAAAAATGGTTGATTTTTATTTTTTAAAATAACATTATAAAATAGTTACAAACATTCTTGTAGTCATTTTTTTGTATGCAACATATAGATCAAAAAATACACGTAACACAAAGCAATATAAAATCAACCCAGTTTTACTAAGACCTTTTACAGACTATCAAAGATACATAAAAAAAAAATTGTATAATGCATGACATTAAAACATTTATACTAATCATTGTACAAACAACAACAAAAAAAAAAATCACTTTAAAAAAATCAAAAATTTAAAATATAAATTCTTAAAAATATATTAAATTAATAATAATAATAATAATAATACATCTACATATAAATTACAATAATTATTTTTTTTAAAAGAAAAAAATAAATATATGTATATATGTATCCACATTATGTTATGAATTTACAAAACTAAACTAGTTTTTTGTATGTTTTCAATATATCCAAAAGTGTTTTTAAAAAGATTAAAACTGACAAACAGAAGTTATGGTCTCAAGAATATAAAATTAAAATAATTTATAAATTAAAAATAAAAAAATCAACCTATATTTATAATAAAAAATACACGTCATATTATAAACTTATGATAGTTGTAAAGTTCCGTACACATTTCCAACATATCCAATAACTTTTAATTTTTTCAAAAACTATTTACGTAAGAATTTCACATTTTATTTTTAAAATGAAATTTCAGAGTTTTTTTTTTAACTTAACTTTTAAAAATCAAAACTTTAAAAAATCACAACTATTGGCAAAGTTTGACAAGTATTCAAGTTGCATACATAATTTTAAATACATTATGCAGCAAAACATGGACATGGCTGTTTGGGCAGCAAAAATCTGTGTATTTTTGTAACAAATAATAACATAATATTGTTGCATATGATATTGATGACTATATGATGTGTAAATTATAAAATTATGGCGTTTTTGCAAATATTCCAGTAATTGTGTATATACCACACTCTATGTTGATGAAATTTGTGATTGAGGCTATAATTCACATCTTGTAGCTTTGCAAGTTCTATGTGCATTGTTGTCTATTCACTTATTTAAACTAAATAAAAATCGGCATTAGAAGCTATTAATTGTAGATCCTATCAATGCCTACAAAGTGGGGCATTTACTTTCAGATTGTACTTCTACTCTCTATAATTATATTACTCACTTAAAATCTTAGAAGAAGACATGAAAAGAATCATAAGTCTATTTATATGTGTATGATTTTAAAGAAAAATGAGTTCTATTCATACATTTCTTTTGGCATTTATTTAAAACAATGGTTGCTCTTGATTTTGTAATTCAAAATTTGGGGCATAAAAAATAGAAATAAAGTAATTATGATGATTTGTGCTACTGATATATAAAGATATAGTCTAAAGCATATTTTTCTAAAAATATAATCCTTGCAATTGCTAGAGTAGTTGCTTATTTCATAGTACTTAGCAAAAAGAATATGATTCTTTGCATTGATCTTTTTTATTTATCCGATCACATGTTTCATAAAACTACACTAAGATTTTTCAATAACATTGATTGTAATAATCATAGTATTAATAATGAAGGATGCTTCAATTTATTTCAATACTTGAAACCCAATAAAGATTATAAGATTAAAACTGGAGAAATTATAAATTGTTATAACTAATTGTAATTAAAACAATCAAAAAATTCTTATTACATCAAAGCACTTTTTAGAATTATTTTGAAACAAACATAAAACTTTACAAATATAAATACATAACTATGTTTTTGATTTTTTGATTTTTTATTATATTAAAATTTACTACTATGACAAGAAGACATGTTTAAAAGATATCTATCTACAGATCCTATGACCTTTTAACCTACCATTGTACTCTCAATCAATATTCTTCTAAAATCATATTCCATGTTTCTTCTATTTTTTTAAGAATTTGCTTTCTTTGGTGGTTTTTATATTGTCTCTCTCTTATTGATTATTAATTCTTCATAATCTTTTTTTATTATTTTATTTTTTTCTTTTTACTTTGATAACTCTATTTTTTATTGGATTTAGATCTAGTATGTTGGAGCATATATGCTTATAGATTAGTATAGATATATTTTACAATGATTACTTAAATTTTGTATGTCTATATAATTAATTTCATCTTTTTTTTATTAAAAAATAAACATATTTGAAAGATGCATTGTTTTATAATTATTTTGGTGTCAA